TCAGCCTCAGCCTCAGCCTGCCTCAGCCTCAGCGTCAGCCTCTCAGCCTCAGACTGCATCAGCCTCAGCCTCAGCCTGCCTCAGCCTCAGTCTCAGCCTGCCTCAGCCTCCTGAGCCTGCCTCGGCCTCAGCCTCAGCCTGCCTCAGCCTCAGCCTGCCTCAGCCTCAGCCTCAGCCCGTCTCAGCCTCAGCCTGCCTCAGCGTCAGCCTCAGCCTAAGCCTGCCTCGGCTTGCCTCGGCCTCAGCCTCAGCCTGCCTCAGCCTCAGCCTCAGCCTCAGCCTGCCTCGGCCTCAGCCTCAGCCTCAGCGTCAGCCTGCATCAGCCTCAGCGTCAGCCTGCCTCAGCTTCAGCCTCAGCCTCAGCCTGCCTCGGCTTGCCTCAGCCTCAGCCTCAGCCTGCCTCAGCCTCAGCCTCAGCCTGCCTCAGCCTCAGCGTCAGCCTCTCAGCCTCAGCCTCTCAGCCTCAGCCTGCATCAGCCTCAGCCTCAGCCTCAGCCTGCCTCAGCCTCAGTCTCAGCCTGCCTCAGCCTCAGCCTGCCTCAGCCTCAGCCTCAGCCTCAGCCTCAGCCTGCCTCGGCCTCAGCCTGCGTCAGCCTCAGCCCCAGCCTGCTCAGCCTCAGCCTGCCTCGGCCTCAGCCTGCCTCGGCTTCAGCCTGCCTCAGCTCTGGCATTCAAAATATGGCAGAGGACTTGGTGTTCTGGGAACACGAAGATCACGAAGTGGCCCACAGTTGGCTCCGGGCAATCAAAATATGGCACAGGAATAATGTTCCGGGAACACGAAGAACACGAAGTGGTTTACAGTCGGCTCCGGGCATTCAACATGTGGCCTGGGAATGGTGTTCTGGGAACACGAAGAACACGAAGTGGCCTACAATTTGCTCTGGGCATTGAAAATATGGCCTGGGAATGGTGTTCTGGGAAGATGAAGAACACGAGGTGGCCTACAGTTGGCTCCGCGCATTCAACATGTGGCCTGGGAATGGTGTTCTGGGAACACGAAGAACACGAAGTGGCCTACAGTTGGTTCCGGGCACTCAAATTGTGGCCTGGGAATGGTGTTTTGGGAACACGAAGAACACGAAGTGGCCTACAGTTGGCTCCGGGCATAAAATGTGGCCTGGGAATGGTGTTCTGGGAATGGATTCCTAAGGATCCCCAAGAATTCCTAAGGATTCCTGGGGCTGTCTGGATCTGTCCGGATCCCGCCCAGACCCCTTTGGGGCGTCAAACTTATCAGCAACAGCTGTTAGGTAAAAATCCGCTCGGCGGTGGTAGCTTGCGCTTCGGAACAATGTGTTCGCAGATCGGCTATGTCGCTCATGAAGACAGTGCTCCACATTCCCTCCACCAGCAATGCTTGAATTTCAGGTGGGCAACAAACCAAGAGTCGAATGACTTCGCGAATCCGTGCGCGTTGTAGGCGGTGTCTTACAGAAGGTAATCTCGCGCTGCCGATGACTCAGTGGCGGCGATGCGGCCCGCCTTCGTTTCGTGGTGGTTGGTGCCTTGGGATTCTCGTTCAGCTGCGGCATAGGCGGCGGCACTTTGCGGAGGTCGGTCATCTTTCTCGTCATCCAAGCACCCGCATTGAAGAACAGCCGCGAGAAGCCGCGGCAGCCGAGGGAGAGCAGCTTCGCCGTGGTCGCGATGGCGCGGCTTTTGAAGGCAGTCTTTCGCAATGGTGCGGTGGCCCCCTTGAGCGAGAGGACTCGGGCTGCGACTTCCTTTGCGAGGTCATCGCGCCCAATCGCCTCATGGACCGAGTGATCGTTGTTGTCATGCCGAGGTCGATGCATGTCTTGCCGATGATGAACATTTGGCGTGCGATTCGCTTGCCGTCGGGGGTGGCGGCATAGATCAAGATGTGGGACTCGTTCGCGTTGGTCAGTAACCCTCGCGAAAGCACGGCGCGCATAAGGTGGCCTCACTTCGTCTCTATAGTCCTGCTGATGTCTCTGCCGCCCTTTACCGCGGCAGCGGTGTTCACGTCGTCGACGAGAGAGGTCGAGGCAAGCTCCTTCTCGTCGCTACCGTCCTGGAAGATCCGAAAAATTGGTGGCATACGCGCGATAGCGTCGTCGCCCAGAGCCCCGGCGTGGTAGTCTTCCATGACCTCGGACATCAGCGCGTTGAAGGTGAAGTCCGCCGGCGGCACTCCATGCCGTGATCCGAATCGTGGTGCCGCGAAGTCGGTCTCCCTGTCGGTGAAGAACCACTTCGGTAAGCATAGCCACGATGTGCGCGTTGTCCACATGCTTGTTGACGATGGCGTGGTCATTGCATCAGCTGGATGATGGCAGGCTGCATCGCGATCGGGATTTTCTAGGCCTCCTACATGGGGTCGGAGTAGATGGGGTCGGAGGGTCGCGCCGCATCGCCGGTGCATCGACGATGCGGCTCGATGCGGAGACCGTTTTTCTCCCTGCCGGCGTCGCCGATGCATCGCCCACGTCGACGATGCATCGCCTGTGTATCACCGATGCATCGCCGATACATCGCCGATGCATTGCCAATGTATCGGCGATGCGGCGCCATCCTCCGACCCCATCTACTCCGACCCCATCTAGGAGGCCTCTAGATTTTCACGTTGCTGATGAGGTCGTCGGTGTCGGCGATGTTGGTGCTCATGTCGTAAACGAGGTTAGTCTCAACCTTGTGGAATGCCGCCTTTAAGCCGATCGTCGCAAGGATAAAATTATCCTTGCCGGTAGCGGCCATGTTGAACATCCGGCGGAGCATACGATGATTGCAGTCGGTGCTCTAGTGCTGTCGTCTACCCGTCTGTGTGTTAAAGAATATGCCTGGTATGAGGTCTCCTTCCCTTCCCTTTCCAGAAATGCGTCAACCGCGACCCCTTGTGTGCGAGACTCTCGCGGCAGTAAAGTGCGGCCTTAGTGATTACGGGGCGCGTATGTCTGGTCAGTTCTCGTGGTGCGATTCTCGCAGGGTCGTCGGTGATCTCGTCGGGCCCTGCTGCGCGGTCTAACTTGGCGCGAGCAAGCTGGTCTCCGAGCTCATAGATGATGTCATACTTGTCGATGCTGCGTTCACGCTGGGAGGTAGTGATGTCGTCGATCTTGTTGTGGCGGTTCACCATCTGCTGCTTGGTCTGCTGCTTGGTCATGGCCCGCGCGGCTTCGATGTCACTGCAGCGGCGGGTTGCTTCATTGTGCTTGGCGGTGCTGCTGCATGGCGCGTTGCCGTCGCCGTCAGTCATCAGCGGGCACGTCCTTACCTTCCTGCGCCTTCGGCTTCCGCAGATCAGCAGCTCCCTGGCGTACTTCCACTCGTGATATGGCTCGTTACTGTCCTTGGCTCAGGCTGCCTTCTCGGCCTGGGCGTTGAGGAAGTCGTCGTATTCGGCGTCGACAAGGTTCGAAGCCTCCTTTGTGGTCTCGTGGCATCAAGACTTGACGGCATCGAAGAAGATCTGTGCATCTCCGCTGTCGGTGGCGTCGTGGGCGGCGAAGGTGAGCTGCATTGTTGCGCCATGCGCTGTGTTTAGAGCGTGTAGCGGAAGATGCCGAAGTGGGTTCCCAGTGGTGTACTCCGTTTCTTTCTTGATCCGCCGATTTATTCTCGGGTGGTGCAGGCCGCGTTGTGCAGCGATCCGCCACAGTGTC